CACAGCCTGGTTTTCTTTGCCTCAAATTGAGGGTAAAAGAAAGGGCATCCTTTGAGGAACTGCTGTTCTTTTATATTCATACTAACTAGTTTTATCGGTTTAGAAAGCGAGAGTGTCCTCAGATTCTGGGTCTCCCTTGCACAGTAGAAGGCAGAGATGGCGGTTTTTTCCAGAGTAGACTAGTGACTTTTGGATGCATCATTTATTTTTGAAGAACCTGCTGTTTAGAAAGCGAGTGCTCAGCCCTTTTTGGGAATCTTTTCTTTGCAAAGGCTCTGAAGCTAGGCATTTACAAATGAAAGCCTCTGAATTTGGTAATCATTTTGTGGGAAGCATTTTCTTTGAATGCAGATTCTTGCCTTACTTCCCCTGTCCCCTACTCTAGCAGCTAAATGCAACCCAAATTTAAAGAGAAACATTGGTCTCTTCTTTTCTGAGATCTGTTGTTGAGATCCCTCTGGTAAAATCCCATGTGCTCTAGAAAATATGGAAAATAAATGGTAGAGGAAGAATGTTCACTAACTAGACTTAGTGGGAACTTCTGACTAAGAATCTGCTCTCTTACTAATAAAGAAACTGTTTTGAAGTTTGAAAATACGTGTTTTGGTCATAATGCATTGTTTAGATGCTCGATACTGATAATGTTGTATGCTCTCAAACCATAACATGTGGCTTCTGTTTCCAAAGCTGCTGCAATCTTTTACAAAAGGTAGCAGAGGTGAACTGGGAAAATAATACCTACATTTCAATTTATATCTAAAAATAAGTATCAACCCAAGTAGCCTACCCTTTGGCAAGGCTTTTTTAGAGAGTCATGTGTGGAAGGCTGCCTTTCTTCTTGAAAGCTGTTGCTTTCCAACCTACTTGCTTTCTCATCTCCCATATTTTGCATTCTTTTACTTTATTATGAACTCCAGTCTTAGCTGCCTAAATGTTTGGGATCAGACTCCCTCTGGCTTATACTGAGAGTGGGGTAGTCCAAAACTTCCTGTTACTTGCAGCAAATGTGAGCACCTGCATCTGCAAACTGAGCAGGTGCTTCGGTTGTTAATGAAACCTAGAGTGCACTAATTGCACTCTAATGAACTAATCTCTCTTTCTCTGATGACATGCAGAACACTGACATATTTGGGAAACAGCCTGAGTGGATGGATTTCTCATTGAGGATGGTCTTTAGGCCATTTGTGGTCACTGCTTCCTGTTCTTTGCTTGCTATGAAATGTGCTCCTTAACAGTGTGAAGGCTTCTAAACAAGAGAAGAATCACAGAGTTGTTTAGGTTGGAAAAGGCCTTTAAGATCAAGTCCAACTGTTTCAGTTAGAAATTTTGGGACATGTAATGGTTTGTGCTCACAGCTTGCAAATCTACTTACAAGTCCTTCTTAGCCTTATTAATGTATGTCATCATAAAGGGATAGATAACAATTTAGTACTCCAGTGGTGTGTGACTGCTAAAAGTGCCCCTGCCCCTGATGACACCTCTTTGCACTGTTCAGCAGAACCTTACAAACACCTGAAAAAACTCCTTTTGTCAAGAACCTTACCGTGCCTGTGCAGCAGTCAACATATGTATCATGGCAACATCTTTGCAGAGTCAGGAAATGTTCTTACTGTAATTCAGCCTATTTGAAAAGTGAGGCATAGACACCCTGTGAGGGACTTTACATCCCAACAGTCTGACAGAGCCAGAACAAGAAGCCGCAGACGACATCTTGATGCATCTTAGTCAGTGCAAGTTTTCCTCTTAGCTTCCAAGAGCCAATCTTTACTGCAGTACTTGTCGAGGGTCAACGCAGTGCAGAGACTACAGCACTTGTCTTACTTGTTGGAGGGCCGTAAGGTGGCCCTGCTCATTTTGAATCTGAAACTATTCCTTGTGAGACTTTTTCCACGGTCCTCTGCAACTTGAAGTACCAAAATTAGAGGCAGTGCAGTTGTCAGTGTTAGCACGTCTGGTGCTGAAATGAAGGTTACAAAAAATCTTTGTCCATTTAGGTAAGCATTAGATATGGGTACAATTTTTCTTTGTGTTGAGATAAAATACTTTCTTCCTGAAAAGTGTTGATTCACTGAAGCCAAAATGGAGACCCAAGAGATGCATATAAGCAGTTCCTGATTTATGTCAAGGAGCAGAGGCACTCCAACTTTGATTGTGCACATCTCAGGAAGATGCACCATCTTTAGATTGTTGGGGGTGGTGCTGGTGGTGTAGTTTTTTTCATGTGAAACCTCAAAAAGTCTTGGTTTCATTCAAGGCAGTACAAAATCATGAAAAGGTTTGTGGGATGGGCAGATGAATGTTCTCCATGCAGATCTGCTGACTGATTTCCTAGTAATGCTTTGTTGCCTTTTCATGACAATGAAAAGAGATGATAGATTACAAAAATCCAAACCATATTTCTTAGCTGCAATCATATTGGACTTTGGAGGTAAAAATAAGCAGTCCAAATTACTTAACAAGATCTTTTGCAGGTGTCATATTAGAATTTCATGGTTTCCATTTCACATAGCCCACCACTTTACAGCCATTGAGTCCTTTTCACACGGATAAAATAGGCATCCTGTTATATTGCACAAGTCCGCCACATGAAGTTCGGTATTGTTCTAAGCTGTGTGAGTGCTAGCAAACGACTAATGAATATTAACATGGAATAGTCAAAATTCCAGTAGTAAGTTCGTTCAAGCATAGGTTGCCTTTTCTTTGGAAGAAATAATGTAAAATAATGTTTGCACTGTTGTGGAAATGTCAAATAGATGTCTTGCGGTTTACAAGAGTGAAATAAGCACCTTCATAGGGTGTGGACTTTTGGATGAGTGCCTAAAAGAATCCAGAGAGGTTTGCTTTATTGAATTAGTTGCCTTTTCTGTATTTTTTCTCGCTCATGGGGAGCATTTGCTGTGGAATGCATATATAATTCTCTTCAAACCTGACAATATTTGATCAGTTAGTTGTTTGTTGTTTGTTTTTTTTTTTTCCCCAGATGCCTGTATTAAAGCTTTAGGCAGTGGAAGAAGATCTTGGTAGATATTCCTTAGTCATTGTTCCAATTTGAACTAGTATTTTGAGGTATTAATTTATTGAAGTATTAATTAATGAAGTGGAAAAAAAAAAAAAAAAAGACTCACAAAAAACAAAACCAGAAAAAGATACTTAAATTTATTTTAAGTCTTGTAGACTGATTATATTCCAAAGATACTGTTCTGCTTTGGGTGGGGATTAAGGAAATAATGAGTGAGATCTGACTTACTAAAACAAGATTTTTTTCTGTAATAAAAATCATAGGTTAATTGAAATGAAAGTCTTAGACTTCTTTTTGTAATTAAAATAAATCTCATATACTAGTAAAGGTGGGGGAATGATAAGAGATTGAGAAGAGACTATCAACACAGTAGTTTTTGAGGGTCACTGAAAACAGGATTAAAATTTGAACTGACTCTGTCCTGATTTTCAGACACTGGAAGGTCTGAAAACACAGTTGATGTTTTTCATGCATTCATAAGCCTGAAGCAGTTTGGTTGTTAGGTGTGGCGAGAAAAGTCTGTCACATGGAGGAAGAAAACCAAAGGGGAGAAAAAAAATGCATGTGGTGAAGGGAGGGAAGAGCAAAAAGCTCCTGTGTCTCTGTGGTGCGCCCCTTGTAGCCCAGGCACATATTCCAGTATCTTACTGTTTGCCAGAGAGCACACAGCAGCACCAGGAAAGACACTTCTGCCTCCACCGACCCTGCAGCGCCAGCTCTCCACTGCTCCAATGGGGGTTTGCTCTGTTAGCCTGTGGGCACAGTAGGAAACTGGCTGGAGAGCTGGGCAGGATATCCAAGCCTTGGTTTCCAGGCTTGCATTGCCCTTGGGTGAGGTCTGTTTTCATTTCTCTACCTACATTAAACACAACTGCAGGCCCAAGAAAAAAATGCAAATACCAGGATTTATTTATAACACCCAAAATAACCATCCCCATTTACAGATGTTTAGAAAATACAGAGGTGTGAAAAGAAAGCTATAGTGAATGCACTCATGCTGCAGGTACATCACAGAGAGATACATCTTCCATTGTTCAGTTCACCAGTTTTTTTCCCTGCTGTCCAGACAGCAGACAGGCTTTGCCCATTTCTCTCTGTTTCTTATGAGTTATGTTAGCTGGTGTAGCTGTCTTCCCTTTAAAACTTTTTAGCAGGTCTGCAGGTCTGTTGCACCATTGTGCAAACAACCAAAGCAGTCAGAAATTGTGTCAGAACCTCAAAAAAGTCTTAAAAACCATGACTGTTTTTTGGTGGTGGTGGTTTTTTTGCCTTTAAGAAAAAGGTTAAATGCAGTATTGCTTTTGCTCGTTTTCTTGTTTGTCTGCCTTCCAGTTAGCTTTTTTCTGAAATCAGAAATCAGGGGCTAGAGCTTTAATGCCGCAGTAAGAAGCTGAGACTTAAAAGAAAAATGCACGAGAATGAAGCTACAAGAACTGGTAACATACAAATCCATTAAAACATTAGATTTCAAAACTCAGAAAACCTCCAAACCCCCAAGATTTATCAGGGTGGTTTGAGGGCACTGTGACATGTTTGTTGGTAAGCTAGGAACCGGAGAGAAGAAACACTTCTGTTGTGTTGTTTCTCTTGCTTCGCACAGAATAAAACCCTATATATATTTAAGTTCAAAGCTTGCCTTGGAGCAGCTTTGTCTGAATCACATGATTCTTCTTAGTTTGTAGCACTTGTGCTGGGGTCCTAGTATAAGCATTTGTGGGTATTTTTCGGTACGATGATTTCAGATTTACACCATTCAGTGACACAGAGATCACTGTGAACCGTAATTCTGCGGTTAACATTTCCTATTCCATCAATCTGCATTTAAAGGGAAGCAGCGTTTCTCCCACCCGAAGTGCTGGCTGCGTTACACTTGCACCTTTGTAGCTCGTCTCTTTCTTTTCACTTTCAGCTTCTCTCGCTTTATTCTTTGCCTGCTGTCCTTGGAGAGAGACATTAACTCCTATGGAATCCCAGCTCCCTGTCAGAGGGATACAGAGCGCTTCCTCTTCCTAGCAGCATTCTCCCCGGCAATAAAATTGGATAAGGAGTAGCTCAGGCGAGTGTCCAGAGTATCAGAGTTGTTGCCGCTGCTGCTGCTTTTCACCCATGGACACAGGCACCTAAGCATGGCTCTGCGGATGTAGTTGTCAAAGCAATAGTAAATGAAAGGGTTGGCACAGCTATTGGCAAAAGCAAAAGGGCTGCTCACCTTCATGCCCAGCTGGGCAACCACATCGGGAAAACAGTTGGGCTGCTTCAGGAGTCCCAAAAGGATGGCCATAAGTTTGAAAAGATTGAAGGGAACCCAGGAGATGATAAAAGCTGCTACTACAATGGAGACAATCTTGATGGATTTTCTCAGTTTCTTATCATGTTTCCCAGTTCTCTGGTAATGCACACAGAGTCTTTTGGTGATGGAGCAATAAAAGGTTAAGATACTCAACAGTGGGAAGAAGAAGGCCAGGATTAAAAGCATCAGTGACATAATCTGCTTGTCTTCTGTCACAGCTTTGTCTGTGCAGTAGGTCTTTCCATAGTGCTTCTTCAGTTCTCTGGACAAAAGGGTTGGCATTCCTAAGCAGCAGGATAATAACCAGACACAGATGCAGAGTCCACTGCAATAGGATCTTGTTCTGACCCGTCTAGCAATAGAGGGATGCATGATAGCAAGGTACCGGTCAGCACTCATACAAGTGAGGAGGAGGATGCTGCAGTACATGTTGACTGAGATGACATAGGAACTAGCCTTACAGAGGAAAGCTCCTACCCTCCAGCTCCCATCCGATGCCTCCTTGTCCACCCAGAAAGGAAGCGTGATAAGGAAGATGAAGTCAGATGCAGCAAGGTTGATGATAAAGATGTCGATCAGCCTCTGGACACGTCGCTTGAAGACCAAGGCTGCTATCAGGATGGAGTTGCCAATGATGCCCACGAGGAACATAGCAGTGTATAGGATAGAGAGAAAAGTCGGCATGTGTTGCAGGAGCTGATACTGGCAGTTGTCATCATAGTAGTAGTAGTCGTAGTTGAAAGTGACTGTAGTCATAGATGAAAGCTGGGTGAGTTCCATTTCTGGCCAAGCTGTCCCCATCTCTGTTCTGAGGAAGGCTCTGAGCTTCCCCTACCCTCACCCTCAAGGTCTTCCTTAAAAACATGGTAGCAAGTGAGGGGGGAGGAGTGGAGCTAGGGGGGAGGAGAAAAGTGGTTTTGGGGGGGGTAATTATGTACTTTCACCCAATTGCTTAGGCAGCGGACAAGTGATGATAGTCTCTGATTAGTCAAAACCCTGTCTTCAGAATAAACACTTGCTTCTTTTTTTAAAATCAGGTTTAGTTTTACTGATTATATCTTCATGTTGCATTTGCCTATATAAACAAACCAGGTTTGGCGTTTGCTTTTATTTTGGAGGGGGAGGGAAGATAGTTTTCAAGATTCTGAACTTTTGATGTTTTAGGACAGGATATTGCTAGTTTGCAGAGGTTTGAGATTGAACCAGCTCAGAAGAAGACAGAGAATTCAGGTGCCACATTCTTTATTGTTTCTCAAAATACTTCGTATAAATCGCTTTTTGGAAAAAAAAAATCAACTTTTCTGAGGCTTAGAGGGTTTTATACTTTCTTTGTTTATGGTTGTTATTTCCTGTTGAGAGTAATTCTCTCATATGAAAGTATTTTGGGGAAAACATTTAAAACTACCCTATCCATTCTGCCCTGTAGTGACTTGTTCTGTATCAGTCCACAGCACAGCTCTCCACTGCTCTGCCAGCACCCCCTGCCTGCCCTGTAGCACCCCAGTTCCCGCAGCCCTGTGCTCCCATGCCTAGCTTTATGAATGGATTAGAAACGTAGAGGAGAGATTTCCTGTGTGTCACATATTCTGCAATTTGAAACGTGACTTGCCATCCCTGCCATTTCCTTATCATCTACAGTCCTGGTCTCCAGAGCAGTGTTTTGTTCCTTCTCCTCTGACTGTGCGGCCCACATGGCTCTTGAGCTGTTGTTAGTACAGTGGTTGCTTCTCTTGAAGAGCGCTGATTTCCTTCATCTTTCGTTTTCAATATCGATACTGCTCCAGCTGTGGCTTACCTTACAGACAGCCCTTTCAGCGTTCCATAAATCAAATGAAAAGTCTCACTTTTTGAACTACTGAATTCGTTACAGTTTTGTCAGTGCATACTAATGTGAAACTTCTACTACTGGTCTTCATCATCCTTCCTCTATTCTGCAGATGAATTAATTTTCTCCTTCCTCCCCCTCCTACCTGCATGTTCACAGACCACGCATGTCTTAAGGATTCTCAAAGCTCTGAGTAGATTGCTTACCACAGCGTGCTTGAGCCCTGGGCAGGTAGATCACATCTATGAATCTCTCCTCAGGCAAAGTGCAACTCCAAATTGCATGGACAGTAAATTAGCCCCTCCAGTGTGCTCTGGATGCACAGAGATTCACTCTGTCAGAGCTCAAGTTATGTGCTCCTATGCAGCAGGTGCCTGGGAGGGAGACTTCCAGGCACTTGGAAAAGCAGCCAGTTGCTATTAAACAACCAGCTGCTGGATCAAGGGATATTTAGGTGGGCACTCTCGCTTGTGTAGGGATGCTGACGTCTAACAAGAAGCTAGTTATGTACAATTGCCTTCCTACCTGTAAGGCACTAGTGGACTCTAACTGACTATTGACATAAGTGTGACATAAATGTGATCCTGTAAGGAAGCACAGGCTAAAAATTATCTTCTTGCTGTCTGAAGAGGGGTGTAGCCATTCACTGTAGGACCCACTGTGTCCTCTTAAGTAGGAGGCAGCGATTCTTTTTAGTTAGACCACTCCCTAATTAGAATAAAATTCTCATAGATCTGTAAAATTCCTAATTGTAATTCTTTGAGTGATCTCCTGCATCTGATTGCCTAGCAGACAATTCTTAGCTTCCATGAAATGTGAAAGTCTCTTCTATGGTGATTGAAGTGATCCAGGGACTACTGCTACAAGTCTTTTTGTTTGTGAGAGGCTTGGCTTTGAGTCCCTCTGATTAGTTACAGAATGGATTTGCGTCACAGCTTATTCCTTCCCTTGCAAAGATGGGAGAAGGGAACACCGAACTGAAGTCTTAAAACTTAACTGCTGCCCAGTAAAAAGATGCGGGTTTTGCTCTTTAATAGATTGCATGCAAGTTGTTACCGCTTATTTCTTAAAGAGTAGGCTCAGAGATGTATATTTGCTGACTCTTTCTTCCATTGGCAATATTGAACGTACTTTATCTTACCGGGCTGTAAGTACCATTAAAAGTCATATTGCTATTCAGGGTTTGTTTCCATGTATTTTATCACTTACTGATAAGGTGACTTCTGCCTCTAGTCAACACCTCTGTGGGTGTCTTGAAAGCTAGTTTAAAAGCTCAAAGGCTAAGTGCAAAAGAGAAGAGAGATAAGAATCTTTAAAAATCAGGAAATACAAAGGTTTCTAACAGTCATTTGACTTTGTCATATTATGCATCCTGGATGCTTTATGGTACTGATTTATGTTTATGACAAGCAATATTATATTAAGCTAAACATTTAACAAAAGAAATGACAGGATATGAGATACTGCAACACAGGCAAGATATCCCAGTGCTGTTAGAAGTTTTTAACTCTGTGCTTTAAAACTCTGTACCCTGGTTTCTTTGAAGTAAACATTTCTATCAATTGTTGGCATTTAGAATGATATGAAATACTTCATAAAACAGATGTAGTCAGCTTTATAAAAGTCCAGTACAAGTTTTCCAATGAGCTGCTTAACTCCTTGCTCCACATTTGTTCAGCTTGTGAATCCAGGAGGTACTACAGCTGCTAAAAATTTGGAGCTTTCTCTGTTTCCCCACCCCATTTGCTGCCAGGCTTGACACCCGTTGGGCAAGTGACATCTTTGAGAACGGGTAACACTAATTCGTTAAAACATGGGACTTCTAAATTCAGAAAACCTCCAAAACCCCCAGAATTGCTCAGGTTGGATCAGGTGAGGACATAGCAATTTGTATGCCACAGACATGTGAATCTGTAAGCAAGCTCAGGCTAAAAATCATCATTTTGCCATCTGAAAATTACAAAAGGTATACCCGCTTTTCAGCTAAGAGTTATGTAGAAATGCCCAAGTATCTTACAGATTACAGAAATGATTTTTGATGGATTCAGTGCAGAGATGAGTTTTGCTTCATCTTTGCTTATTTCTGCTTCAAATAATATATTTCAGATTGGTTTTTTTCCTTCCAAGCAGCACTAGGAAATAGAGGCATTCTCTTTCCATTAGTACTAGAGTAGCAAATCACCTGAACACTGCAGTCTGTTAGGTATAGTAGTTCTGCCTCTCTCCCGAAGAGGGACCTATGTGTTATTTTATTCTGCACTTAGTTCCTAGCAGCTTACATGCAGTTGTAAGCTTTAGAAATAAGGCAGAAACTTCTCTCTCTTCATCTCACACTACTGCATACTCTTTGAAATTCACTCCCTCCCTCTTCCCATCCCAGAGCAGACAAAAAAGTGAGTAATTTTAAAGAAGCTCAATGGAACCATAAAGATAAGCATATGCCCATGTATTCTTGTGTTGGTGGTTCCTCAGTTTGTTGTCTCCCTGTAGTTGAACAGCTTTACTTGCTAAAATAAAAAATTAGATAGCAAACCTTTTCCAACAGGTATCAACTCTGCTCTCTTGAGTTTGCTCTGTATTTCTTGAATGCTCTAAGTAGACTTATGGATGTCGCTGTGTGTTACCATTTTATAATGTGACACTTCCTCATCTGGACAGAAGATTTGCAAAGGTGGGATGAAGCACTGTCACAAATAATAAAGCAATCTGTAATTATCCAAGTGAAGCAGCAGCAGGCATGTTTATAGTCTATAAGCACTGTGTGTTTTTTTATGTGGTATTGATTTACTTGGGGTGTCATGTAGGGTCTTACTCTTCCCAGAGCTCATTTCCCTGAGCCAAACTCTCAAAAATACTGAGTACATGGAAATTCCCCTCATAACACTTCTGCACAGATATTCCAGAAAGCTCAACAAATGATGTGCTAAGATTCAAAAGACGTAGTGAGATGTTTTGACATCAGGAGGACAGCCTCCACCCTCTCCTCACCCCTTCCTAGATTTCCACAGCACGTTCCTCCTCACAGACTTCAGTGGATGTACGTAAACCCTTCTGCCAAACAAAATCTTCTGCTGAAGCAGCAGCTACTGGCTTGTCTTGGGTGTATGCTCTGCCATTTTGGGTACCCACTTGTCCAGCCCTTGATGCACCTCTGAGGAGATGTAGCCGCTGAGTGCTGAGTAGTTTTGAACCTGAGAGTGAACCTGGAGCTTTTGTAATCACACACTCACAGCAGATCCTGTAATCATGGCTGTGTATTTGGCCAGTTCTGCTTTAGAGGGTATGGTTCCCTGATGGTCCTGCCTTTCCCAAATGCACTTGTGAAGTTTGCCATGTCAGTGTTTGTACCAGTCCTTAAATCCTCCTCACAGGAAATGCTGAGGTATTTCTAAGAGTCGCAAGGGAAAAGTATTCACAGTTCCGTAATGCTTGTGATACATGTATAATGGCAGCCTTCTAATGTCATGGCAAAATTAGTAGAAGAGATGCACTGCAGAACTATCTGCACAGGAAGTATGAAGGGTTGTTGATTTAGTCTGCCACACACTCCCTTACAAATTTCTGCAATTGAAGCATTTCTGCTAGCAAGGTGTGGGTTTGGGGTTGGGTTTTTTTGTTTTATTTTTTTACATTCTCTATTTTACTAGTAGCTTAAATGTGGTTTTATTCCAACTTGTACTTCTGCTTTTATATAATCACAGGCATTTAGACACAATGAGCTACGTATCTGTAAAGTATTAATGATTATAAATGCTGAGAAGGAACAGAGGTTCATTTGGCTGTACAAGAAAGTGTGGTAGTTTCTAAATGATTGTGCTTTAAAAACCTTTTGTAAGGAATAGAGATTTGCAGACCTAATTAAAAGAAAAACTACCAAACCCCCCCACCAAATTGGTTGAAACTGCCCTACTGTGCTTTATCTTAGGTAAGGCAGGCTCAGAGGTAACCAGATGAATGCTAACCAACAGAAGTTTCA